TTTCTGACTTTTTGCCCATAGTGCAGCGTTTGCATTTGCTGCTACATAGCAGCAATTTAAGTAAAAATATTGCTCTGTAGCATAGCAGAGAGTACAAAATCAAAACGGCTGCTCTCGGCTCTGCTCTGTAGCACTGAAAGTCGGAGCACGGAGCAATAGCAATAGCAAGAAAATGCGCGACACGCTATTTGTAGTTGTAGCAATAGCACAAGCATCGACAGCGAGATGAGAGCAGAGCCAAAGAAAATAATTAATTTCAAATTATAAGAATATTTAACCTATTCCGATTGTCGGCCGATATAAGTTTTAACGATGAAAATGCGCGTTCTATTGTGACCTAAATAAAATAAAACGTTATTAGCATATATCTTGAAGCATAAACAATAATTCTTACTTGTGTTGGCGGAATGGCAAAGCAAACTTTGCTTAGTGCATTTAGTTCAGGATCAATCGCCTTTCTTTCTCTCCAAAAGTTCAACACATTAACATTTGCTTTCATATAAGGGAGTTTTAAGGTTTCGATTTTTGCAAAAACATCCCTGCATTCATCGGATGGCGATACCGTAGCTCCCAAATAGCTAACAAGTCGAACTCATTATTTTCCAACCCTTCTTCAATACTCATAGAATTAGCTGAAGTCGTTGAGGTATTAAGTTTTGGGTTGATTGCTTTAATTTTTCCCCACAAACTTTTAAAAATTGTATAGCATTTTTTCTTCTGAGTCGAGGAAAGAATTTGTTGAAATCTCGGGTCTAGGTATAAGCATGCATCAAAACCCACATTCGATACAAGTTTTTCCGTTCGCGTTTCTATGCTTTTAATGAGAGTTTGGCCAATTTTAAAACTAATCGAATCATCGCTATCTGATCGTGATTGTAAAATTTGGTTTTTAGTCAATTTACATGAGCTATAAAGCATAGAAATTTCCGTAGTGCAACTGCTCTTCTTGAAACTTTACAATGGTTTTTTGCAGTGGATTCATAATGCAAGTGTAGTTTTCTACAAACTCCCACAACTTAGAGGTAGCGTCGAAATTTTCATGATCCGTTTTATTTTCGATTGCTTCAATGTCACTCAATACGTCCTTTGCTTTGTTCAATCGGTCGATCCTTGTGGGACCATCCAATTGAGGCAATTTCAGTTTACGAAACTCAAATGCCTTACGATAACCATTTAATGGCTTACGAATGTATTTCGTCATGTTGCGACATTGAAGTAAATAGCTTTCAAACATCAAGTGCGCAAAGTTGTGCAGTATGTGCTGCACACAGGCATATTTGTATATTATTATCATATATATATTATATCTGAGGCCTCATAATTCTCAATTTTTTTAGTGTAGTCAATGTTTTTATCTACTTCCTCTGTGCCTTCAAAATCAATATCAGAAATATAACTTTGTGATAATATTTTTGTCGTTTTAATCATGTTAGCTCCATTGTCTGATGTAATTGAAATAATTTGATTCAATCGGATGTTTTACTTCTCCAAAATAGCTATAATTTCTTTGGCCAGATTTTTAGATGTGCTTCCGACTATGCAGTTGCTACGAGAGCACAATATTATTTTCTTTGGCTCTGCTCTCATCTCGCTGTCGATGCTTGTGCTAATGCTACAACTACAAATAGAGTGTCGCGCATTTTCTTGCTATTGCTATTGCTCCGTGCTCCGACGTTCAGTGCTACAGAGCAGATTTTGTGATTTTGCCGTTTTGATTTTGTGCTCTCTGCTATGCTTTAGAGCCGATCGAAAACAGAGCAATAGCGGGAGCTATTGAAGTTCTGGACAGAATGTGCAGTGAATTACAAGAAAGGGCCAAAGGTTTTGATGAGATAAACTCACTTTTCGGATTTCTCAAACCTGAATCCTTCAAAAACATGGAAGAAAAAGAATTCGAAAAAAATGTGAGCAATTTGATGGAGAAATATCCAACTTTTTTTACAACTGCCTTGAAGTATGAGTTAATCAGTTTTGCGGATATATATTTCTCACAAGAACAAGATTTTACCAAGCATAGTCCATTGCAATATTTGAACTTCATCGTTGAAAAAAATTGGATCAGCAGTTTCCCGGAGTGCTGCAGTTTATTGCTTTTATTCTTGACCGTTCCCGTCAGCACTGCCAGTGCCGAACGAACAATGAGTTCATTGTTCCTTTTTTCATGTTCCATGGGCCTTTTTCCTTAAATCCGCCACTGCTCCTTTTACTTTAAAACAGTGGTCGGCACCCCAATACATTGATATGATTTTAACGCATTAGTGTTAGTAACGAATAGCAGAATGTAGGCTGTGAGCATGACGTTTCACACATTTATACTGTGTGTGTGTGTGGCAGAGCTCGGGCAGAGAAATTTCCTATGCCCTCGGGACAGGGCCGTGCCGACCACTGCTTTAAAACCAACTGTAAAAAGGTTTTTTTCAAAAAATTAACAAGAAATTCAAGTTTGGGAACAGTAGGAAGACGACTTAGAGAAAATAATTCCTGGAAAAGAGATTATCTAACAAAAAAAACACTGGGTCAAGCACTTCACGTTCAGCAACGAATATTCGAACTAGCCGTTGAAAAGATGGAGGAACATCCTGAGGTAGTATGATTCCAAAATTTTTTTTTTTTGGCGGGACTTGTATGTATGTATGTAGCAGTATGTTGTTGAAAGAGATACCTAGTATAATTTTTCCCAAAACAACATTCAAACACTTTTCGTCCAAATTAATGTGTCCGAGTTTTTTTTTACTATTATGTTCAACCATTTTTTGGGTCAAAATTATCACTGAGCGTCACATTTACTAAAAAATTTTAAGCGAAGTGATACTTCCGTGTTTTTTAGAGGACATGAATCTTTTTTGGACGTTTTAAAAGAATGAAGAACAGAACTGAAGCACACCAGTTTTTTGGCCAAAGAGAGGTTTACCGACAACCGAATCAAGATTATGGAATCGTAGCCACAGTCACTTAATCTCAACCCAATTGCGATCTTATGGTGTGAAGAGATTAGCCCTAGAAATAAAACCACCCATTAAAATTCAACTTTGCAAAAATTTGTAGAGGTCCTTGAGCCTTAATTACTGGCGAAAGATGCAAAAAGTGGCTATATTTAACAAAGGCGGTTCAAATAAATACTTGTATTATATAAAAAAAAAAATTTATAAATACTTTTTAAAAAATTTTTTCAATATTAATTTAGGCTGTGGTATATTTTGGAAATTTTCACTACTATTTTTTTGATCGATTGTTTTTTTGTGAAATTCAAATTTTGTTTTTTTTCTGAAAAGTTTCTTGTATTATCCCAAAAGTTCAGGTATTGTCAACATCTATGATAAATAAGGTTTCGAAGAAAAATGTATATTGTTTCCTAAGTTTCGTACAAAGCTACAAGTACATGTTTTTTTAAATACGCACTAATAATATTTTGACCGCAGCTGTATATACAATGAATATCGAACTAGAATGGGGTTCCACCTATCGCTTTAGTACGCATCGATAAGACAAAATAACGATGGAAATGGTAAAACTGAAAGCTCATGTCTAAAATATTTAAGGACGTGCAGCGTTTCAGACAAGTAAAACCTAATAGTAATGGTCCGTTTATTCTTTAAATTTGTTTTTTATAACAAGAAGCAGCAAGCTCCTGTAAGAGGAACATTTTTTTGTACAGAAGCAAACACGTACATTTTTAAATTTCCCTCCCTGGAGCTTGCTGCTCAAGCTTCTGGCAATTTGTAATGGGGTTAAAAAGCAAACTTTTATAGTCCTACTGCTTCAGCGGACTCGTGAGCTAAAAGAATAATTTATAATATAATTTTTAGTATAATAATCTAGTATAATTTTTCCCAAAACAAACATTCAAAAACTTTTTCATCCAAATTGATTCAACCATTTTTTGGGTCAAAATCATCACTGAGCATCACATTTACTCAAAAATTTAAAGCAAAAATTTTTTGAAGGACATGAATCTTTTTTGGACGTTTTAAAAGGATGAAGAACTGAAGCACAGCAGTTTTTTGGCCAAAGAGAGGTTTACCGACAACCGAATCAAGGTTATGGAATCGTAGCCAGTCACTTAATCTCAACCCAATTGCGATCTTATGGTGTGAAGAGATTAGCCCTATAAATAAAACCACCCATTAAGATTAAACTTTGTAAAAATTTTTAGAGGTCCTTGAGCCTTAATTACTGGAGAAAGATGCAAAAAGTGGCTATATTTAACAAAGGCGGTTCAAATAAATACTTGTATTATATAAAAGAAAAATTTAAAAATACTTTTTAAAAAATTTTTTTAATATTACTTTATAATAATCGTTTAAAAATTAAAAAAAAAAAAAGTAATTTAGGCTGTGGTATATTTTTTAAATTTTGTCTTTTTCTGAAAAGTTTCTTGTGTTATCCCAAAAGTTAAGGTATTGTCAACATCTACTATAAATAAGGTTTTGAAGAAAAATTTATATTGCTTCCTAAGTCTCGTTAGACTACGAGAGTACAAGTACAAGTTTTTCGATAGCCCAAATGCGGACTAATATTATTTTGACCTAAAAATAATATTACTGCCTATTTTGGCACTAATATTTTATTTTTGATAATATTATTTATACAATGAATATCGAACTACGATGTGGTTCCACCTATCGCTTTAGTACGCATCGATAAGCCAAAATAACGATGGAAATGTTAAAACTAAAAGCTCATGTCTCAGCGTTTCAGACAAGTAAAACCTTACAGTAATGGTCCGTTTATTGTTTAAATTTGTTTGTTTATAACAAGAAGCAGCAAGATCCTGTAAGAGGAAAATTTTTTTGTACAGAAGCATACACATACATATTAAAATTTTCCTTCCTGGAGCTTGCTGCTCAAGCTTCTGACAATTTTTGATGGGGTTAAAAAGCGAATTTTTTTCGTCCTACTGCCTCAGCGAACTCGTGAGCTAAAACTTTCAATGGAAGCTTTCGGGCGGACGTAGAGCGCAGGGCTGCTGCCTGCTGCCAAAGTCTCGCCGTTCTCTGCTCCGGCGTATGGCCTCCTGTCTGTGTGAACCGATGTGGTAATGTGTGATACAAAGTCACCGAGTTAAAGTCTTGTCCAACTGGTGAGACAAATTCGTTATGAGCTTTCGCACAAGCGGTTTTTGTTTTTTATTTTTCCTAAATTTTGAAAAATTTAGTGCTGAAAGAAGCAAATTAGTGACCAATTTTGGCATTTATGAATGTTCAAGGTTTGCGAACACACGCGTGGTGAGACAGTGCTGTGAAAATTCGACATTTGAAAAGTCCTGAGCTTCTGCTATGTGGCATCGAAATCGGGTCGCCTGGTGAAAAACGTAGTCCCCTAAAAAATTCGTTCTGAGTGAAACGGCGACAATGGCGACCAGTACAATGTTGGCCAAATAAAATTCACGTATCCGGAATGTGCACCATTAAAATCTTCAATTTCGTCTTGTCGAGATTTATTTCCTTACACCATTTACTTGGCCGTTCAAAAAAATTTATGTACAACATAGTACCAGTGCAAGTGTAAATTGTTCATTTGACGTTCGGTTTTAAGAAAAAAAAATAAAAAATAAAAAAATAAAACTAAACAAAATGTAAATCACCACAGCGCTCTAACACACTCTTGCACGCATATACATACATATGTACATACGAATACGCCACAAAAGCTATTTGGTGTGTGTGTGCGTGAGCTGGGATTGGGTCAGCGGGTCGGTAGCACAACGGGCGCAATGGTGCGTCGGTTTTTAGGAGAACCGTGGACGGTTGTCGGTTTACGGTAACCATACACCATACGTATGGTTAACGGAGTAGGGTAAGGGTGTTGTGACGGTTAGGGTATAAGCAATGCGGCATTGAGACCATGTTTAGTTGGGTTTACACGCGCAGGAAGGTGAATGAATCGTATAACGGCTGCAGAGCCCACCATACACGCACACACGCCTATAAATTCCGCGCACAGTATGGTGTGTAAGTTAAAAAATATTTCAATAGGCCAATAACATACACTTGCATACATATGTATATTCATGTAAGGTACACATGTATGTATGTGTTTTCTTTACCCTACAAACATTTAAAAGTCGTATGTAGCTTACTTACACAAGAATAACATTTGAATCTGAATTCAAATACGAACATAAATGTTATGCTCTTCTTCAATGCTTCGTGTAAGTGAAAATTGAGTTGTCCGCACTTGCAGACGGATTTCTGAGCGTAACAGAACCCGCAAATCCCATTAACCATGACGTTTCGGAACCTTGATAAAAACTCGGTCAATATCTAGCCACTATTTGACTAAAAGAGTACAACATTCCAGTGCAAATTAACCAATTGGTTCATTACATGCACCAGCATGTCATTACATGGTACACCGATACCAGCTCACAAATGTAGGCAACATTTTTTTTTAAACACGTGTAATGGATGTAAAAGAGATAGACATAGTAAAAGGCCGAAAACGAAACTGAGGGAGACGGAGCGATTTGCATGAGAGACAACGTAAAGAGACTTCTGGAGATGGTGTCATTTTCGCTATTTATTTTTGGCCTTTGACTAGTTGGTTCGTTTTTCACCTAATAAACGCCGAAAGCTATGCCAAAATTATACAATGTACATATGTACATATATGTATAACCTAAGCACCATTAACATAAAAGCATGGTCATCAAAAAGTCAGAAATCATTGTGTGGTGACATCACAAGAACAATGAGCCCTCCAAGTGTGAGGATTACACTTCTGCCTCATGTAAAAGATAATGCCAAGTGATTTTCGGGAGCTAACAGAGGTTGTAGGATACGGTTTTGAGTGTTATCGTTATCGATGTAATGTACCCATTTTTTAAACCGGTTACGGTTTACAGCCGGTTACAAAAAATAGCAAGCGCCTCTACTGTTGGGTTGGCGATGGGGTCAGAAATAAGCGGTAACTAAAATTTCTTAAATATGTATATACATAACTCCACAATTTCTACTGGCCCTACTCTCGCATTATCTGTCCCTCATACGAGAAAAGGTAAACATTACCGTTTTTACCGTTTTAAATTCACTCCGAACGTGCAAGGAGAGAGAGAGAGAAGGAAAGAAAGAAAAAGAGAGTATCCATAGACTTCGAAATTTCACCGTTCCACAACTCACCACGACGGGCGCAAAGCTTTTTCGGCTGCTTTTTACTGTGCTTGGCAGAGCGCCAGCCTCTTTCAATTCCATCCCCTAACTTTTTCATTCATGCCGTGTTTCAGTAACGGAATGTTATACCAATAAACCAAAAACATTCACATGTACATCCATCTTAACTGATCCCAAAGCATACAAATACATGAGTGCATATGTCGCAAGTATAAAAACACTTTAGAACTAACTTTGCCTAATACTTGTTCTCGTACATATGTACATATGTACATATATATGCTTTTCAATACATGGGCATATGCGTAAATATTTTTTCAAAAGGTCATGAACCGGATTGACCCGACATTATCATGATTATTGAATGAAAAACAGTAGGGTGCTTCCCATAATATGGTTATTAGCCCCGTTTTATTTCTAATTACCCGTAAAATCTGGTCTATTCATACATACACATCCTTACATACACATGTACATATATACATATACATGCATGTATATGTATACATGTATGTATATACATATATGTTTTTATGTTTTAGTCCGTCTAAAGAGCGCCGCGCAAAAATGAGCAAAAAAACCGTGATTTAAATAAATGTCATAACATATGTACATGAATTAGGTACGTTATAATTTTTGTGCTAATTATGTTTTCAAGATCCAAAATACAGTAATGCTACGATAATTATTATATGAAAGAAAATTAAAGTCAACTCATAGCGCCGAGAATACATGAAAAAGAAAGATAAATTAATTAAAAATATCGACTTCGAGCAAAGTGTGTGAGTGCGCGAGCGGAGGCAAAATTAAACGCGGCGAGGCCACTTCCAAATCCTCCGAAAGGAGCAGCTCCTGTCTCCCACTGCCAACACCGTAGAATACTATAGTAGCAGTGACCTGGTATAATTGGGCTCCCGAAATAAATGTCCAGTTGCCGCTGTCGTGCCATGCGGACGGCGTGTCACTCCCGACCAATGCGTATTGCGGTTCACCTTGTGTAAGATAATTATGGCCGAGCGGTCGTTACAAAAGTATCAGAAATTGGAAATAGTGACGGTAGGTGTTATTATTTTGAATCTTTCCGTTTCTATATGTGTGATCAGTTTGTGCCTCAGCTTCGATACTCATTTCCAACTAAAAATATATAATAAATGAGTTAACGTATTAACGTAAAAAATAGTATCAAAATAAGAGTTCTACTGTAAAAGCGTAACATTTTTTTAAACATTTTTTATCTTATTTTTTTATGCATAACGATCTAATTTCAATACATAACGAAACGAAAAAACAAGAAAGGAAAGCTAACTTTGGGCGGAGCCGAAGTTAATATACCATTGCAGTTAAAAGCAGATATATATCGCAAACATAGGATATAATTGGCCGATCCTTTTGATAATATAATAATATAATCAATTCATTAGAATACGAAATAAAAAGAAGTTACAAATTTCTATTTTCAAGAACACCAATGTTGGTGTTCCAAATACCATTTTTTTGTACCATTTCCGATGGTTCAGTTATATGGCAGCTAAAAGAAATAGTCGGCGGATGAAATTGAATAGGACGCATTGTTTTGCCAAAAATAGCATTTATACAAAATTCGAACTCTCTAGCTTTAAAAACACAGAACTTATAACATTTCCGATCAATCAGCTATATGGCAGCTATAGGATATAGTTGGGCGTTCTCGGCTGTCCCGATTTATTTACCGCGTGCAAAGGAAAGAAGGGTGTGTACAAAATTTCAAGTCGATAGCTTCAAAACTGAGAGAAACCGAAACTTTATTCTGCTTTCCTTTTTGAGTCGTTTTCGCCTTTATTTGTGGCGGCAATTCGCAATTTTGTGAGAGACCACGTGTTTTATATAAAGATATTATAAACAAGAAAGGAAAGCTAACTTCGGGCGTGTCAAATTCTCTAACTCTAAAAACACCAAAGTTATACCATTTCCGATCAATCAGTTATATGGCAGCTATAGGATATAGTCGGCCGATCCGGGCCGTTCCGACTTATATACTGCGTGCAAAGGAAAGAAGGGTGTGTGCAAAGTTTCAAGACGATAGCTTCAAAACTGAGAGACTAGTTCGCGTAGAAACGGACAGACAGACGGACAGACGGACATGCTCATATCAACTCAGGAGGTGATCCTGATCAAGAATATATATACTTTATAGGGTCGGAGATGTCTCCTTCACTGCGTTGCACACTTTTGGACAAAATTATAATACCCTCTGCAAGGGTATAACAAGAAAGGAAAGCTAACTTCGGGCGGAGCGGAAGTTTATATACCCTTGCAGTTAAAACCGGATATATATTGCAAATATAGGATATAGTCCCAAATTTCTTTCTTCAAAAATACCAAAGTTGGTATTTCTACCAAAAACCATTTCCGATCGTTCAGTTATATGGCAGCTATAAGATATAGTCGACCGATCGATATGAAATTTGGTAGGTCGGATTAACCAAAAATATAATCTGTACTAAGCTCCAGCTTTCTACCTTCAAAAACACGAAAGTTGGGTCATTTCCGATCGTTCAGTTATATGGCAGCTATAGGATATAGTCGGCCGATCCAGGCCGTTCTGACTTATATACTGCGTGCAAAGGAAAGAAGGGTGTGTGCAAAGTTTCAAGACGATAGCTTTAAAACTGAGAGACTAGTTCGCGTAGAAACAGACAGACAGACTGACATGCTCATATCAACTCAGGAGGTGATCCTGATCAAGAATATATATACTTTATAGGATCGGAGATGTCTCCTTCACTGCGTTGCACACTTTTGGATAAAATTATAATACGCTCTACCCTCTACAATTAAAACATTTTTTTCAAAATTTTGGTAAAAAAATTTTTTTTGGAATGTCAAAAAAAATCTAACCAACTTGATTAGAGCATAAGTGAGACGCCAAAAAACTACAGATTTCAAACCGAATCTTACAAAAAACCGATTAAGCATGGTGGAGGAAATATCATGCTATGATGATGCTTCTCCTCCTCTGGAGTGGGTCCGATACTCCGTATTAATGACAAAATGTGTGCTCCACAATACCTTGATGTACTCAAGAATGATATGCGGCCATTCGCCGACGAAGAAATGCCGTTAAAGTGGGACTTGAATCACCGGACTTGAACCCGATTGAGCACTTGTGGGGTGTACTAAAAAAACGACTTGGAGGCTTTAAGCCCAAAAATAAGGAAGAATTGTGGCAGAAAATGCAATCCGAGTGGTATGGCATTAATCTCTCGATTTGCGCCAATCTGCTGAATTCTATGCATCGTCAGTGCATTGCAGTTATAAAATATAATGGCTGTACCACTAAATATTACCTAAAACCATTTTTTTATTAAAAAATTTAAGATAATACCTGTGATAGATAAATATATCCATTTGGTTTCTATTATTTTTTTCCAACACTGTATGTAGTGAATATTCGATGTAGTTCCCCGTAGAGCAGTCGGCACCCCAATACATTGATATGATTTTACCGCATTAGTGTTAGTAACGAATAGCAGAAAGTAGGCTGTGAGCATGACGTTTCACACATTTATACTGTGTGTGTGTGGCAGAGCTCGGGCAGAGAAATTTCCTATGCCCCCGAGATAGGGCCGTGCCGACCTCTGCCGTAGAGCTGTAAAAAATCGACTTAATGTTTTCGATTGTCATAGTCCCAACAATCAATAGTCTCAATACTAACAATGGAATTATTATACATTTTTGTTTTAAACCTAAACTAAAGGAAGCTACATTTGGCTCGCTAAAGTTAGTATACCCTTGCATTTGCATTGCAGTTGAACTGTAAAATAGGAACCGAAATTTTGGAATAATTAGAAAAGGCCAAATCTAAAACATGTTGAAAAGTAATGATTTTTTTCTAAAAAATCGATGAAAAAACAAATCACATTTAAATTTACATATGTATGTTTTGTGTATTGATAAATGTATGTTTAAAAAAAAATCAACAATTTGAGGAAATCCGTTCATAGAATAATGATTATTTTGTGATTTTTATTTTTCGATCATAGAATAATGATTGTTATCTGATTTTTTTTGTTCAATCATAGAATAATGATTATTTCTGATTTTTATTTTTTCGCTCAGGAAATAATCATTATTTTGTGATTTTTAAAATAATCATAACAATGATCATTATTTATGGTCCCTGGTTGTAATAAATTGGTTCTATTATGATATTCTCATAAGGACCGACCAACTATATCCGATGCTTGCGATATATATCCGGTTTTAAATGCAAGGGTGCAAGCTTTCCTTTCTTGTTTTATATATGCGTGTACATTTTTTTGGGTTATTAAAAGTAGCCTCTGAAAAAAAGCAATTTAAAACCGTATAATTGAACCTAAATAGTATTTTTATAATATAGTTTATATATCATAGTTATATAGTTATAGTATAATTACTTTTTCTGCTATGTGAATATTTATTATCTCATCTGATGGTCCGAATAGGCTGATTTGGAGGAGATCTTTTCCCATACGAACGGGCTAAAATTTTAAACGCGTGGATTTCTAACACTATAATAGATAGAACTATCAGATTTGGAACTTAGTATCGAATGATGTTCGCGGAGATCAAGTTTGTGTCAAAATTTTTCCACGCCGACTCCCGCCTCTAAAACAGAAATCTGGTATTAGCGCCAGTTCGTTATTGTTTTTGGAAAATATTTGATGCCAAACTGTATAGTTTTTAGAGGAGTTATAGACTTTTTAGTCTGCTTCCCTACTAAATCGGTTATTATTTTTTTGCCCAAGAGCAAAAGTATGCAACAAAAATGTGTTGTTTATGATCCATACAGTTAAAATCTAAAGCCTTAAAGTTTGTGTGGGTGGAAGAGATGAGTACCGGGTATATTATAGTCGGTAAACTCGACTATAGCCGCCCTTTCTTGTTTAATATGAAATTTATGTAATAACCGATAAGTGAAATAGGGGTTCAAGAAATAAGGTCTCACTGGTATAGGATTTAAATTCTTTCCTAATCTTTTCTATCATTTTTGTACCCGGTATTTTAAGGGTATATTGTTATGCGTGTAAAGGTGTGTAATAGGGTCAATCCTTATTTATCTAGCTATGCTTGGCGCGGGTCTTTCACTTTATTATCTGAAAAAGTTAAAAAAAAGTAAACTAAAACAAGAAATGAAAGCTAACTTCGGGCGGAGCCGAAGTTTATATACCCTTGCAGTTAAAACCGGATATATATCGCAAACATCGGATATAGTTGGCTGATCCTTATGAGAATATGATAATATAACCCAATTTATTATAATACAAAAACCAAACCTAAAAATGTCCCAAACTTCTATCTTCAATAACACAAAAGTTGGGTCATTTCCGATCGTTCAGTTATATGGCAGCTATAGGATATAGTCGGCCGATCCTAATGAAATTTGGTAGGTTGGATCAACTGACCAAAAATAGAATCTGTACTAAATTCCACCTTTCTATCTTCAAAAACACGAAAGTTGGGTCATTTCCGATCGTTCAGTTATATAGCAGCTATAGGATATAGTCGGCCGATCCTTATGAAATTTGGCATTTGAACTCTCTAACTCTTAAAACACCAAAGTTATACCATTTCCGATCAATCAGTTATATGGCAGCTATAGGATATAGTCGGCCGATCCGGGCCGTTCCGACTTATATACTGCGTGCAAAAGAAAGAAGGGTGTGTGCAAAGTTTCAAGACGATAGCTTTAAAACTGAGAGACTAGTTTGCGTAGAAACAGACAGACGGACAGACGGACATGCTCATATCAACTCAGGAGGTGATCCTGATCAAGAATATATATACTTTATAGGGTCGGAGATGTCTCCTTCACTGCGTTGCACACTTTTGGACAAAATTATAATACCCTCTGCAAGGGTATAAATATATAAATATGTATATAAATATTTAAGTTCCTAAAAGGGCTGTTATTGTTTCCGTCTATTAAAAAGTTTAATACATATGTTAGCTCGTAATCGAATCTCAAGAAATAGGTGAGGGGATAAATGAAGGAATGGTGGTAAAATCAGTTTGCTGAACATGAGTTTCGTTAGTCC